AAAAAAAAAAAAAAAAAAAAAAACAAGGGAATTTTCATATAAGTGAATTTATAAATACGTTTGACTTTGTGCTGATTTTTTTTTTTAATAACACAAAATAGTAGGAAAAACATTTTATTACATCTTTAGCTTGTTCATGAACAAATGAAAAAGTGTTAACACTTAAATTTTATAATGCAGAATCAATTAAAAGTTTGTTAAAGACTAAATATCATTGTTTGTGGAAGTATAAATATGATTTTCGTCAGTATAGATGACAATTATAGTATAATTTCTAGCTGCTATTATCTTCCCATAGAGTAGCCAGGTGTTGCTCTATCGTAACAATTGGCATCAGGGACATCATTTGGGTAGGGCAGGGGGGAATTTGCCTCCCCCCCCCCCTTTCGATTTTGCTGGTTTTATTTAAATTGCTATGTACCGTCTGTTGGGCCTTCAGTAATAGACAACTTAACAAGCCGACCAAGGTTTGGTTTTTGTCCCCCCCTCCCTTCCCCTGGAAAAAAAAAAGAAATGACGCCCCTTATGTAGTAGTAGCTGATTTATCATTTCCATCTTGCGGAACTGATTTACCAGACAAGTCAACATCATCCTTATCTTACTATTCAGCACTTAAAATAGAAGCATTGTCTGTGTGAGCAATAGTTGCCATAAGCTGTCTTTGTCTTTGAGTTGGTCTAGTTGTAATTGTACACCGATGAGTTGGTTTTTTTTTTTTTTAATTGAACAACGTGTACAATGATGTGTCACTCATTCTAGGGAGCGGATTAAGAGACAAATGACAGGTGAAGAGATGTCAACTTTTGACTTCCCTTGCACTAACAAAGTGTGCTAACACTCTGACCAGCAATCTGCAGTGCACATACAGACACACATTAAATAACTCTTAAATTGTTAAAAGCCTAAACATATATGACTATTTACATTCATTAAATTGTTTAAAGTAATGTAAGAACCAGTCAATAGATCATGTGAGACACAGCTTCTCGAATTTGTAGAAGACCTGATGACCAATCTGGAGAACCACAAGCAGACTGAAGTGCTAGTAATGGACTTCGCAAAGGCATTTGACCGTGTGAATCATAGTTTGCTTCTACACAAACTCCAGAGATATGGGATCCAAGGCACCACTAAAACATGGATCTCTAGCTTCCTCAGCCACCGATGCCAAGCAGTAGTGGTGGACGGTACAAGCTCCTCCTTTGTCGATGTGAAGTTAGGGGTCCCCCAGGGATCAGTCCTGGGCCCCTGTTTTTTCCTAGCATACATTAATGACCTACCCGAGAAACTGACATCACAGGCAAGACTGCTCGCAGATGACACAGCAGTGTTTAGGACGATCGCCAAAAGATCTGACCAGGACCAGCTACAACAGGATCTCAATCTGTTAGCTGAGTGGGAAATGAGCTGGGACATGGAATTTCACCTTGCCAAGTGCCAGACACTATCAGTCTCTAGAAGTTGTACTCCTCTACACTACCAATACGAACTGCACGGCCATATACTTGAGCAAGTTTCCTCCATTCAAAGATAGGTCTGCTGGGACGAGCATATTAACAATGTATGTAACCAAGCAAACAAGACCCTAGGGTTCTTAAGGCGAAATCTAAAGATTGGCAACTCCTGTGTGAAAGAAAGGGCATTTAAAGCCTTTGTCCGTCCGATTTTAGATTATGCATTTTCAGTCTGGGGCCCATTTAGCAACTAAACCGCTACAGGAATACCTCTAGTGTTGGCAGCATGCTGGAAACACTAGGCTGGTCACCATTGGAGAAACGACGACGACAATCCAGGCTCTCCATGATGCACAAGATAAATAATGGGCTGGTCCACTGTTCCAGTATTAAACAGAAACTCGTCCCTCTCCCCCATAGACAGCGACGAGGCCATGACAGGCAATTCAGGCTCATACCAGCAAGAAGCCAGTAAAGGAGCTGCTCATTCCTGCCCAAGACAATCAGGGACTGGAACAATCTTTCAAAAGGAACGGTTGAGGCGACAACACTAGACACATTTGTGTCTATTGCCTCAAGCCTTCAAACCCCTAGTGCATGATTCCCTCANATAGCAGACAAACATTAAATAGACATTATAATTTAAAAAATAGCAGACAAACATTAAATAGACATTATAATTTAAAAAATAGCAGACAAACATTAAATAGACATTATAATTTAAAAAATAGCAGACAAACATTAAATAGACATTATAATTTAAAAAATAGCAGACAAACATTAAATAGACATTATAATTTAAAAAATAGCAGACAAACATTAAATAGACATTATAATTTAAAAAATAGCAGACAAACATTAAATAGACATTATAATTTAAAAAATAGCAGACAAACATTAAATAGACATTATAATTTAAAAAATAGCAGACAAACATTAAATAGACATTATAATTTAAAAAATAGCAGACAAACATTAAATAGACATTATAATTTAAAAAATAGCAGACAAACATTAAATAGACATTATAATTTAAAAAATAGCAGACAAACATTAAATAGACATTATAATTTAAAAAATAGCAGACAAACATTAAATAGACATTATAATTTAAAAAATAGCAGACAAACATTAAATAGACATTATAATTTAAAAAATAGCAGACAAACATTAAATAGACATTATAATTTAAAAAATAGCAGACAAACATTAAATAGACATTATAATTTAAAAAATAGCAGACAGACATTAAATAGACATTATAATTTAAAAAATAGCAGACAAACATTAAATAGACATTATAATTTAAAAAATAGCAGACAAACATTAAATAGACATTATAATTTAAAAAATAGCAGACAAACATTAAATAGACATTATAATTTAAAAAATAGCAGACAGACATTAAATAGACATTATAATTTAAAAAATAGCAGACAAACATTAAATAGACATTATAATTTAAAAAATAGCAGACAAACATTAAATAGACATTATAATTTAAAAAATAGCAGACAAACATTAAATAGACATTATAATTTAAAAAATAGCAGACAGACATTAAATAGACATTATAATTTAAAAAATAGCAGACAAACATTAAATAGACATTATAATTTAAAAAATAGCAGACAAACATTAAATAGACATTATAATTTAAAAAATAGCAGACAAACATTAAATAGACATTATAATTTAAAAAATAGCAGACAAACATTAAATAGACATTATAATTTAAAAAATAGCAGACAAACATTAAATAGACATTATAATTTAAAAAATAGCAGACAGACATTAAATAGACATTATAATTTAAAAAATAGCAGACAAACATTAAATAGACATTATAATTTAAAAAATAGCAGACAAACATTAAATAGACATTATAATTTAAAAAATAGCAGACAAACATTAAATAGACATTATAATTTAAAAAATAGCAGACAAACATTGCAAAATCTTTCATACATTTTAAGGACAGGCAACTTTTTTTACAGAAATAAAATAAACTCACGAAACTCTAAATATATATATGTATGTATGTATGTATGTATGTATGTATGTATGTATGTATCCGGATGAAGCTAATTTAACACTCTCAAAAAAAAAAAATCCATCAGACTATGTCGGTCTGGTTCAACAAAAATTAAGTTATCTCAGCCATAAAGTTTCGTAAACCTAATTTTGACAGGAAATGTAATATGACCAATATTTTTAGAGCCGCCATTTTAAACGTGATTTTAAATTATACCATTTTCACCAGTGTTAAACTTCTCCTGATGGTGATCAAACGAGATAAAAGCAAACAAGAAGTAATCTCAAAAGTTGTGAGATTCCATTTTGTTTCACTTCAAAAAAATGTTTTTTTTTTCAATGCCTCATTTTTTACGGATATATTTACGGAAGTTCTTTATTTAATTACGGACTTTTAACGCCCGAGGCGGTCCTTTATTTCAGGCCTGCCACAACATACGCCCCCCCCCCCGGCCGCACGTGAACCTCCAGCACCCACTTTGTGGCCCGCGTAGCATCGACATAATTTTTATCATTATATTCTTAATAGCTTTCACCCTTGTCCTATTTTCTTTCGGCCT